ATCTAATTAAACTAAAACCACTAATACTTCAACATTGGGCATGGATATTGTTTAACTATATAAAGGGCTGCTGAGTTTGTAAATAACAAGCAATCAAGAATAACAAACTCTCAATTCTCTCTCTTCTTCTTCTCCTTCTCTTCCATAAATCATCTTTCTTGAAAATCCTTTGTTCCAATAAATTGGTATAAGAGAGCTCGGTTGTGATTCTGAGAGAATCTAATGGCAAACAGAACAACAACATCAACGCAGTTTCCAGCAAATCTATCGGTTTTCAAAGGTGAAAACTATCAGCAGTGAGTTGCGCAGATGGAGGTTATTTTCAAATTTCAAGATGTTGTTGAAATCTTGAATGATGGAGTATCAGAACTAGAGGTAAATGCGACCGAAGTCCAGAAAACTGCGCACAAAGATTAGAGGAAGAAAGATGGTAAAACACTATTCTTGATTCACCAGTGTGTGGATTTTGATGTATTTGAGAAAATAATTGAAGAAGAAACAATAAAAGGAGCTTGGGAAAAGCTAAGAAACTTGTATGGTGGAGATGAGAAATTGAAGAAGGTGAAGTTGCAGACGCTAAGGAAGCAATACGAGATGTTTCAGATGAATGAAGATGAATTAATTTCTGCATATTTCTCAAGAATTGTGACGCTAACAAACCAGATGAAGGCATGTGGTGAATTGGTTACGGATCTGCAGAAGATAGAAAAGGTGTTGAGATCTTTAATTGTAGATTTTGACTACATTGTTGTGACAATTGAAGAGGCCAAGACTCTATCTGAGATGAAGTTGGAAGAACTTCAAGCTTCATTGGAGGCTCATGAAATGAGGTTAAAGCAGAGAAACTCAGAAAGAGAGAAGGTGTCTGAACAGGCATTGCAATCAAAATTCAGCAAGAATGATGGAAAAGAGAAGTCGAAGCAGCGAAGGAATCTTGCTAGTGATGAGAAGTCGAGCAAGAATACTGATTCGATCAAGAAAGGTGAGGGCAACAAGTATTCCGGAAAGAAAGTTGACACGAAAGAGGTGCAATGTTACAATTGTTAAGGTTTTGGTTACTATGCTAGAGACTATCGAAGAAAGAAAGCTGCGAGGGTGAAAGATAGTGATGAAGCTCAATATGCACGAGTTGGAGATAGCGATTCTGATGATGTGTTGTTGATGGTGAACACTCAGTCGAACATTGAGAAAAACAACATGTGGTATCTGAATTCAGGATGCAACAACCACATAACTGACAACAAAAACTGGTTTACCAAGTTAGATGAGTCAGCCGAAAAGGTGATAAAGTTTGTAGATGGCAAGCACATCAAATCAGGTGGTAAAGGAGATATTTTGATTGTCAGAAGGATGGTCGAAAAACTACTATCACTGAAGTAATTTATGTACACCTTCTATGACAAGTAACTTGATAAGTGTATGTTAATTACTTGCAAAAGGCTTCAATATGAAGCTGGAGACAAATCAGGTGAAGGTATATAGGGCTCATGGGGGGTTAATAATGAAAGCACCATTGGCAGAGAACAAAACGTTCAAAGTTGAACTCAACACATCAGTTCACAAATGTTTTGTTTCAACTACAAAAGAAGACAAAAACTGGACATGACATCACAAGTATGGACATCTAAACTTCAAAAGTTTATGCATGCTCAATCAGAAAAGGATGGTGTTTGGGTTGCCGTATGTAAAGGAACCAAAGAAGGTATGTGAGGAATGTTGCAAAGAAAAACAGGCTAGGAAGGCGTTCAAACATGACTTTCCCGTAAAATCAAAGCAAAAAATGGAGCTAGTTCATTATGATGTGTGTGAACTCTTTGAAGTAAAGTCAAATGGAGGTAACATGTATTTCCTTACTTTCATTGATGAATTCACCAAACATATGTGGATTTACCTTATCGAAGGGAAGAGTGAGGTATTCACACAGTTTAAGAAGTTCAACTTGTATTTTGAGAAACAAAGTGGCTGTAAATTGAAGAAGTTAAGAACTGATGGGGGTGGTGAATATACTTCTGCTGAATTTGCTAGATTTTGCAATGAGGAAGGTATAGATCATGATGTTATTGCACCCTATACGCCTCAGCATAATGGCATAGCTGAGAGAAATAATAGAAATATATTGAACATGACGAGAAGTATGTTGAAAGCTAAAGATATGCCTAAGAGATTTTAGGCTGAAGCAGTTTCGACAGCAGTATATATTCTAAATAAATGTCTAACGAAGAAGATGGTCGAAAAGACACAACATGAGGCTTCAACAGGGTCGAAGCCAAATGTGAGACATCTTAGAGTTTTTGGACCAATGTGCTTCAGGCATGTACCTGAACAATTGAGAAAAAAGTTGGATGTAGAAGCGAAGTCATGGTGCTCATAGGTTATCATTTGACTAGTGCTTACAAGTTGTATTCGCCAAACGAAGATAAACTAGTGATCAGTTGATATGTTCTTGTAGACGAAAGCAAAGGGTGGGACTGGAGTCAAAGTTCAGTTCGATAAGAATTAAACACAGTCACAACTGTGTTCGACAAAGATGAACATAACGAAGCTTCAACGAGTTGAAATGAACAAGGTGATACTTCAACCAGTCAAAATGAAGAACCACCTGTGCAGAATGAAAGAAGGTAGATAAGAGCAAGAACCGAGTCGACCAAGCTAACTGGATATGAAAGGTTTCCAGATCAAGCAGTTGATGCAGATGGTGACTTGATCGAAGAAGCCATGATGATGGCTGAAGTAGAATTAATTGATTTGGGCGAAGCCATGAGCAATTCGAATTGGTGTGAACCCATGAAAGAAGAACTCAGAGCTATTGAGAAGAACAAGACCTGAGAGCTTGTCGAAAGAACCAAAAAGAAACCAATCAATGTAAAGTGGATTTACATGGTGAAACGAAGGCTAAATGGTGAGATTGTGAAGTATAAAGCAAGATTGATGGCCAGAGGTTTTTTACAAAAACCTGGTATTGACTTCGACGAAGTATATGCGCCTGTTGCGAGATTAGAAACAATCAGAATTGTTATTTAGACAACAACATCTAGAGGATGGAAGATGCATCAATTAGATGTAAAGTCAGCATTTTTGAATGGTCCATTGGAAGAATAAGTTTACGTTACTCAACCACCAGGATTCGACGTCAAAGGACATGAGTCGAGAGTATATAGATTAAGGAAGGCTCTCTATGGTTTGAAGCAAGCTCCTAGAGCTTGGAATAAGAGGATAGATAGCTTCCTAATCGAAGCAGGTTTCACAAAGTGTGTCTCTGAACATGGAGTGTATGTAAATGATATCAACAATGTCAGTCAAATCATTTTATGTCTCTATGTTGATGACTTAGTAATTACAGGAGCAAACGAAGCTGGGATAATGAAGATAAAGTCGAAATTAATGCAGGAATTCGAGATGTCTGACTTAGGGAATCTCTCATATTTCCTAAGGATGGAATTCAATGATACTGAAGAAGGAGTATTTTTGCATCAAACGAAGTATGCTCAAGATATTTTGAAGAGGTTTAAAATGAGCAACTGTAATGAAGTTGTCACTCTATTAGAAACTGGATGAAAGTTGAAAAAGGAAACAAATGATGAGTTTGTAAGTTTGACCCTTTACAAATAAATCATTGGATCCTTGAGATATCTTTGCAATACTGGACCAGATATCTGCCAAAGTGTAGGATTGTTGAGTAGATTTATGGAGAAATCACAAGAATGTCATCTCATCGCAGTAAAGAGGGTGTTGAGATACATAAAGGGAACTATTGATCATGGTGTATTGTTACCAAAGAAGTCGAAGAACAATACAAATGTCGAAGTTCATGGATACACTGACTCAGATTTCAGTGGAAATCAAGACGAAAAGAAAAGTATTACAGGCTACATTTTCATGATCGAAGGTGCTCCAATCTCTTGGAGTTCGAGGAAGCAAAGCATTGTGGATTTGTTATCATGCGAAGCAAAATATGTGGCTGCATCATATGCTGCATGCCAAGCATCATGGATCAAAATGCTACTTGAAGAACTCAGGATAATGGAACCTAAGAAGATGAAGTTGTTTGTCGACAACAAGTCAGCTATTAACCTGGCGAATCACCCAGTGTGTCATGGTCGAAGTAAGCACATAAAAAGAAGGTATCATTTTTTGAGGGATCAAGCCAACAAAGGTAAGCTTGAGATAAAACATTGCAAGAAAGAAGTGCAACTAGCCGACATATTTACCAAACCTCTGAAGAAAGTCAGATTCGACGAGTTAAAAAAAAAGCATCGGGATGAGAAGTATCGAGAACATGAATTAGGGGGTGTGTTAGAAGTATAATTCTTGTTCTATCGAAATGCATGTGTGATGTATGTCGAATAGCTTTTGTATAGGTTATAAATTGTATTCGCCAGAGTCGAATACAACAGATATTGTAGTCTGTCGAAATCATGTTTTGGACTTTAGCATGTTTTGTCTAATTGGGTCTGGGCAGTGTTAGCCTATAAAAATGGCTGTTGAGTTTGTAATTAACAAGCAATCAAGAATAACAAATTCTCAATTCTCTCTCTTCTCTCTTCTTCTTCTCCTTCTCTTTTATAAATCATCTTTTTTGAAAACCCTTTGTTTCAACAAGTAACACATTTATAAATATTTAAAATATAAGAAAAACGATATAGAAATCACTCTAAATGATCAAATTATTACAACAAAAAAAAACTTAAAGGATCAATCGATTAAAAAAAAAAGACGTTTAGGGTAATCATTCCTTAAAAAAAATATGCCACAAATTGTTTGCCTCCTCAGAAAAATACAATTGCTGAAAAAAATAATTAAGCAATGGAAACTCCAACCCATACCATATATGAATTCAAATAAAAGAAAAGAAAATCACCCAATTTAATAAGAATTAGTGTATTATGTGTAGTATGATAATGCTATGTTGATTTATCCAATTTTTATAGAGATAAAACAAACATAAATATTTCATTTATTCCTTTTGGTTAAAACACCTCTACATTTTGTTTTTGAAATAGAAATGATAAATGACAGAAGTAATGGAGACGTAGCCATCGATGAATATCATATCTATAAGGTGAGATCCTAAGCTTTTACAAACATGTGACCATGATTTTATGACTTGTATTAGAATAATTAAAAAAAATGACCATGTTCAGGGAAGGTATATTTTTTAATTATTTACTAGTTAAAAATTTAAACATAGCTATTAGTTTGTGATTGTTGATAAATAAGTTTGATGCAACTATTAGTACCATATTTCTCTCTTTTATTTTTATTTTTAATGTTTTACCTTCATTGATATGAGCCATAATTTGTTCTATGCTTATAAATGGTAAACAAATTAAGAAGACTGAGACACAAGAAATGTTTTCTAGTTTAACATCAAATATTGATGCCTACATTTAAAGATAAGTAAAGTTATATACTTAATCATAAAGTGAATTACAAGAGAAATCCTACGAATCTTGATTTATTTTGAGACTCCCTCGGAACCCTTTAATTCACCTCGTGTTTACCTATATCTCACACTGCTTAATTGTTTAAGGTGTTAATAATACAAGAGTGAGATTGAATTATAGTGTGTTTAAAAAAAAATCGCGATTTGTTGGTAAGTAAGAAAAGTGATAAATAAAAATTCTAGGATAAAGAGATAAGTGAGAGATTAGACACACAATATTATCCTAATTCACCTATAACTTGATATCTAGGTCCACTATATTCACAACCAACTTTACTTTATATGTGTATATTAAGTTAGTCCATTATAATCCAATTGGTTACAATCACTAATGTTTTTACACGATATTATCTTTTAGTTAAGTGATATTCTACTATAATCCAGCTAATTACAATCGTACATCGAAGTTCAACTAAATATATCTAATATTTTCAACAAATAGAACTGACTATAACTTAGTCTCGTTATATACTTAAAGAATTTATCTACAACCTAACCCTTCGAGAAAATTAGAATCAATGAAATGCTAAAGAGTAGGGATGTGTATAGATCATAAACAAAATCAAATTGAATCATATATATAATTTGGTTTGGATCTTAAAACCGTTTTCATAAAATTAGTTTATTTTTTTAAAATCAGTTTATATGTGTATCGGTTAAGTTTTAAACTGGTTTCTCACAAACAAACAAAAAAATCAATTTTTGAAAAACCAGTTTAAACCAGTTTCTCACAAAACCAATTTTCTATTTTCTTTTTAAAAAAACTAGTTTTAAACCAGTTTTACAAAATAAAACCAATTTTAAAACATTTTTATAAAAAAAATCAATTTCTAAAAACACCAGTTTTATATCAAAAAATGGTTTTATTTTCTCTAATCAAATATTCATTCATATTTGATTTTGTTAAATCACAAAAGTATGCCTCATCCCTCTATTTAGTTGATATAAGTTATCATATGAGGTGTAAGTGATGGTTAAATTGAAAGTCTAACTGAAGATATTTTAATGACATGCACTATGTCTTTTTTTTCATCATCATTCAAGAAATGGAAGAAATCATGCAGTAGCAGCGGCAGAGGCTTTTTTAGCTTCATAATCTTTAACAACTGTTTTTATAGCATCCTCAACAAGCATGATGTAGTGAAGCTTAACCGGTGGAAGTGCAGGAAATTCATTATGCGTCAATTTAAAACCAACAAGACCAAAACTATTAATCGTGGACACATTGCTTAAGCTGAAATCATCATCCAGTAAGATTAAATCTTAGAGATAAGCAAGACTCAAAAAGTAAAAGATCCAATGCATAATAGCTAAATTGTTGATTAATGCTAAAGATGACATAGGGAAGAAACACTAGGGATTGAAGTTTAAGTTTGAACCGTACATGATTTTGCTAGTTTCAGAAGAATACTTACATACAGTTTTAGAAGAATTGTTATATCCACTTTCTATGCATTTAAATCATCTTTATGAACTGTCCATTTGTTTCAGCATGTTGCATAGTGTATATCAATGTATAAAAAGATGGTAGCATGGTCCATAATGATAAAATTTCATTTAAAGATAAACAATGAATCATATGGCATATTTGTTATCAGCATATCCATTCAAGTCAAAGACTACAACAGAAGTAGAAGAATATCTCACTCTAATACCATATAAACAGACACTGATTGGCGTAAATGAGTACGCATCAATAAGCTCACAGTTTATTGATACTATGTCGGATTCAACCCGCACCAAAACAAGGAAGATGAATCTGGTTACATGATATATTGAAGAAACTGAACTCTTACAACATAAATTGCAGTATGGCCTAAACAATCATATTTTCCAAAAGCTATAATTGATAGTGTTAATAACTATAATTGAATACTAAGAAATATGTCAAACCAAAAAATCACTATTGTTAGTGTTAATAACTATAATTGAATACTAAGAAATATAAAAGCTTTGTTCATGAAAGTTGATAAAAACACCCTAGGTTATTATCTCTGACCAATGTCTTGCATAAGTTTCATTGATAAATGCAATACAATCTTTATTCTTTATTCCAAAAGTCATTTAATTTGTTATTCATTTCATATGGCTAAAAATGACATCCCTATTATCTACAGGTATGCATTTTACACAACAAAATATAAAAATCAGGCTAGAAGTGTCAAATGATAAGCTTAACAAACCAAAAGAGTGGAAAAAAAAGATGCAAATCAAATAGACATCACTGCTCAGTTGACACCAAAAAGTGTTCCATAGCGAATTCAAAACATCAAAAAACAAACACTTGGTGCGACATTGATCATAGAGTCATATTAGAAGATTGTATATAATTAGTATGGTCAGATGATGCTTTGTCAAATTCATTTCTAGGTTCATTAAAGATTAGGGTATGAGACGTTAGACACGTCTATATTCCAAATAGTTGTTTGATATTGTGTCTTTATACGTTTTACACTAGAATATTTTCCTCAGAGAATTTAAATAAATTTCCACACATGCAACAAACATTAGAAAATAAAAAATTTCTCCTACATCTTATTGTCATCAAAACAAAAATTATAGGTCATCAATCTTCGAACCATTATGAGCTCAACAATAGTCTCATATCCATAAATATAATACAACTTTAGTTTTTCTTAGAAGTTTGGTGAGTTAGATTGTTCTCTTTTGTTATTGTTTAAAATGGTTCTTATCTTATAGATATGTTTTCCCATCTTATAGTTCCAATGTTCTTATCGATGTTTTCTTCATATGTTATCCCATCTTATAGTTCGATCCAATGTTCTTATCAAACTTTTGTGATGTGATAAGTATTATCATTGTTATAAATTATTTTACAAAGACTAAACTTGATCTTACTTTGGCTTCTTTTTTTATTATGTTCATGGAGGAGATCTTGTTGTTCTTAGAGCTTTAGAACTTGTCCTCCAGGAATGGTTTTTTCTTATTCATTTTAATGAAAGTTCAATTATTTTAATAAATGAATACTATTATATCTTCAATCATGCTAAAGCTTATATAGTTGAGATTTTTATAAAAGAAATAGTTGCTGCTATAATACAGGAAGATGTTGAGATCATGAAAGACTTGAATATGGATGCTTATAGATTCTCCATCTCTTGGTCCAGAATATTACCAAGTAAGAAAATTGAAACTAAGTAAGAAAACTTTCAAAAAAAAAAATATTTTTTAGTGATATGTAAATTAATGACAATAATGATTATTCACTTAAATGTTAGATCCCTTGACTAATTTCAGAAGGAAAACTTGGCGGGGGTGTAAACAAAGAAGGAATAAAGTATTACAACAACCTTATCAATGAGTTGTTAATAAAAGGTTATCATATATATGAGTTTACTTTTAAATTAATTTTTATTTTTTACATGTTTTTTTCTAAAATAATTTAATTTCATATATGAATGTAGGACTTCAACCCTTTGTAACCCTTTTTCATTGGGACCTTCCTCAAGCACTTGAAGATGAATATGGTGGCTTTCTAAGCTCAAATATAGTGTAATTAACATTCGTTATAACCAAAATAATCAAGTGTCATTAAGTTAAGCATTTCATCACATTCTTTCCTTTTATTATTATTATACTCAGGAATGATTATCGAGATTATGCAGAGCTTTGCTTTAAATTATTTGGAGATAGAGTAAAGCATTGGATCACATTGAATGAACCGTGGAGCTTTGCCTTACATGGTTATGCTGATGGAACGTTTGCACCTGGACGATGTTCACATTGGCAAAACCCTAATTGCACTGGTGGAGACTCTGCCACTGAACCTTATATAGTGGCTCATAATCAATTACTTGCTCATGCATCTGCTTCCAATGTCTACAAAACTCAGTATCAGGTTTCATTTTGATTGTCCTTTTTTATGTGTTGCTTAATTAATTATTATTTATATTCAGACTTAAACTTTTATTTCCTTTATGCGTGTAGGCATCTCAAAAAGGGAAAATAGGGATAACACTAGTGTCTTATTGGATAATGGCACTCAATGATACTGAACTAGATCATGATGCTGCACAAAGAGCCATTGATTTTATGTTCGGATGGTAATTAACTACTTTATGAACATAAATTTATATGTGGAAATTGCTAGTGCAAGAGCTTTTGCTTATTTTACAAGAAATGAGAGAGATAGAAATAAAGAGACGAATATAGAGGGATCAAAGTAGTGAATTGCATTAAATCGGGCTTGATTGATCATACAATGTGAGTTTTATCATTTATACAATGTCAAACTCCTGACTAACTAAACTCTAGTTAGTAACAACATGCTCCCTGAGTTCAATCCTATAACATTCTTTTGACACTAAATACACCTACTTCATTCTTTTAAAATAAAAAATTTCTCAGTCTTCAACCCTTTGGTTAGCACATCTGAAACTAGTGCAGAGGTAAGGAAGTGTTCAACCTCTATCTTTCCTTGATTGACTTTCTCCCTCAAGAAATGAAACATTGCCTCAATATGTATACTCCTTCCATGTAAAAGTGGGTTCTTTGCTAGAATGATACATGACTTGTTATCAGTGTACAACTTGATTGGCCTCTAGACTTCAATCGTCGATTCCTTTAGAACTGATTCCATTCATATGGTCTGACACACAACATAAGATTTTGCTATGTACTTTTATTCACATGATGAAAAAGCCACATCTAGTTGTTTACTTGAGCACTATGAAATTGGTGAATCAAAGAACCCAATATAGTATCCTATGGTGCCTCTCCTATCCACTTTATCACCACACTGAATTATGTTTGATGTTGTTTTCTACACATTCAGATGCATTTGTTGACACTTTAAATCATGACATTGATTAATATAGTTATCTTGAAAATGTACATACCACAGGTTTATGGATCCGCTGATAGTAGGAGACTATCCAAGCTCCATGCGGTCCTTGGTAGGGAGTCGGTTACCAAAGTTCTCAGCATATCAAGTAAATCTCGTAAGAGGATCTTTTGATTTTATTGGGTTAAACTATTATACTTCATACTATGCAACTAATGCCCCTGAGCTAAGTAAAGGAAAGCCCAATTACATCACTGATCAACTTTCAATTCTTACAAGTAAGTGTGTTTATGAAGATATTTCATTAATAGAATACATTATGAATTTTACTTTAATAAAAAAAATTATTAACATGTCTTAAATGTATAAGAAAACATAATTAGGATAAAAGAGTTTATGAGTTTTTATTAAGGTCGAAACAATCGGAAGTAAAAAGAACAATATTTAACTTAAATAATTTTGGTCAAATTTTATTTACCTCTAGGTTGATTTCTTGATTATCAAGGCCCAATCCCCCAAAACAATAGAGTTGAGAAAAAGTTATTATTTGTGGGAAAATTTGATCTCTTGCTACCCTAATACAAAGTCAAAACAACATAATAAAAAAATTTGTATGTTAATAAATAACTAATATATGGAAAATTTATCCAAACACATGAGTATGTGATGAAAGTGATGGAAAGATAGGCCCAAAATGATAGGTTATAAAAATTTGATGTTAAAACTAAGGTTATTAATATGAATCTGGTTACACTTTAAAATACATAAACTATTAGCCTATCTCAATAGACAAATGGCTTAGTATCAGACTATCATTTTGATGATTGAATGTTAGGCGGGTGCAAATACAATTGAAATGAGAAATAATCAAGTTTTTTCAAGTCTACTCAATTTTATAGAGGTCTTGCAAGTGTTAAAATCAATCAAAACTCGATAGGACATAACATTATGAAAATTTTACTCGTGGTTCATATATTTATGACACCATTAATTGAAAAAATCTTAGAAAAAGAAACTAAGTTGTGAGCGAGCGGCACGCATGTGAAAAACAAGCTTTTCCATCCATTTCTATCTTTTTTTTCTTTATTATTCATTTTTAATTTAGTAGCTCACACACATAAAAGATTGTATTTAACATATTTTTTATCTAGTTAAGGAACCCATAACTACAAGATAGAGTTCCTTCTTCAACTTAATTAGTTGAAGAAAAATAAATTACTATTGAGAGCTATTAGCAAATATCTAGACAACCTTTCTTTTTAAATAACAAATTTGGCAATGCCCAGTGGGACACTACAATCAATACCATTCCAAAGTTCAATTTTTTAGATCAAGACTACATTTGATATATTCACTCATATAAAGGAAAATGTATTAACAGCATGTATCATTATCCATATTCATCGGCTTGAAATGTGTGAGATCAAAAAATACCTAACAAACCTCCACAAAATTTGGGGATTTCAACATTTATGGCTCATCCCAATGTCGGAGAAACATTAGTTCTACCCCTCAAATATCACTAATAATGTTAACATGTTTTATTGTATGACATATAATCATAGTGATAAATGACATTGTGTATAAGTGTCTCAAAAGTCATTGATATTGTCAAGTCCACTACTAAAAATAAGGTTTAGCAAGCCAAGGAGTTACAAGCTAAACAAGCAAATTCAAGGGGACAATTATATCACTTTAGCAATTCATGGAGTCTAAGAGAACCAATTTTAGATAAACATTGATAGTCAAAGCTATAAATATATCACGATGGCAGGAAATTCACAAGTTTAAGCGATTTGTATACAACAAGTACCTTTTATCCCTTTAAATAACTAGCATAGTACTTTTGGGGCTGATAACCTTAAGGGGAGTCCAATTAAGAATGATATGTTTGATATTATTGGTCTTAAATTTGGATAGGTGCAAATGAGAATAAGGTGGCTTGAAGAAGTTGGAAAACTTTTCATGCCAAAAGTTTCTCCTTATAGATACACTCTATAGGAAAACAATATGCCATACATTAAAAAATATGCTTTTGAACTAGTAATAAGAATTAAAAGGTGAGTATTAAATTATTAACCTTAGCAGTAATGGGCTTATTACTTATCTTGGCTAGTCCTAGAAAAGAAAAAGAATCAGTCTAACTAATGAAGAGGCACACACGTAGTCTCCATAATAGATAAGAAATAGTTTGATAATGTTGTATCCGTCGATTCTATAGTAAATATATTGATAGTTGAAATTCTAAAAAGGAGAAGTTCTTTGTGACTTTCCTTGAGGCCTACCAAAGGATATGACACAAATTTATAAGAAAACAAAGTTGAATATGCATTTTATATCACTAAAGGCGACTAGGTCCTTGATCATATTCTTAAAATATGATTATTCAATTGTTAGATGGTCACAAAAATCATATAACCACTCCATAACTTGCTACACGGTCTTCTGAAAAAGCCACTTAAAATGTTATCAAAGAAGAAATATTTAAGTTAGTCAATAAGTGGGTTATTGAGATAACCATTGACTCAAATTATTTTCTAGTGATGATAATGATCATGGAACCCTTTTTCAAATAAAGTGGGTTCAAAATAGCTATGACATGAAAGAATATTATGAAGCAAGGCTGGCACCGAAAAGACTACAACAATTGAATGTATACGATGAGTGAGGGAGACATACACTACAAGGATTCCAACCCATTGTAATTTTAAAAATGGAAACCTCTTAAAATTGAACGACTCACAAGAGACCCAATAAAATTCTATATTAATATGCAAAATCTGCAACCTTCCCATATATCCTAGTTAAATGATGGGAGGAAAAATCTTGATAAGAAATCTCTTCAAGATGATCCCAAGGCACAATTTATTCAATCAAAATTTTGATAGCATTATGACAGAGATAGATGCCATTGGCCTTATCCATCTTGAGTAATGGGAAAATGAAGCTCATTCGAGGAAATTGGAAAGAAGATATCTTTGTTGAATATAATGAATGGGATACATTAGTTGAGGTTACAAAAACATTATCAAAACCCTAATCTTTATTCACCTTGATCTGACAGTCAACCTTGCTTCACAAAGCCTTGGGCCTTCTCCAATCCAAAACAATAATTACTTTTTATGTCGCACCATACCAAAACCCAAATTTAATCAACAAAACAACACATGCAATTCAATTATTTAACGCATTCAATTAAACAAACTAATTTACTCATATTTATCATTTTGTCTTGATCTCTGTTATGTGCATTTTGTTACTTTGCCTCTTTTTTTTAACAGAGGAGCGCAACGGAATACCTATTGGTCCACCTGTATGTATATGTGATAATAATTTAATTTCCAATTGAATATAATTTCTTTTTTTCTTTAGTTATTTATGTTTTTTTTTTAATTTTTAAAGAAAATTAAAACCCATATTATTCGTGCAGGCTGCTTCATCTTGGCTGTCAATTTATCCAAATGGACTTCGTGAATTGTTACTCTATATTAAAAAAAAGTACAACAATCCTTCTATTTACATCACTGAAAATGGTAGTACTAATACAATATTTATATTTATTTTTCAAACTATTTCTTTAAAGTGAATTTTTTTTATCTATACTAAAATTTAGGAAGACAATTTAAGCTAATGGTTATTTCCTAATTTCAAATGATTTTATGCTAAACAGTTATATTGTGAATCTATATTTAGGTATGGATGATTTGGATGATCCAACGATCTCTCTTGAGAAAGCCCTTGAAGATACAATGAGAATTAATTATTATTATGATCATCTCTATTATCTTCACACTGCAATAAGGTATGTTTCGTCAAACTAACAGAGCAAAACACTACAAGAAAATAATTTAATTTGTGAAATAATATTTTTCAAAGAATATTGTGAAATTTGACTCTGATTATCCCTTTAAATTACTTGATGAGAGATTTAGAACATTTGCATTTCAGTTTTTTGGTATCTAGGTATTAGTTTTTTTTTAAGTACTTCAAGTTTTTCTAATAATTGATTGTAGATATGTTTAATGTATCAATTTATTAGGGATGGCGTCAACGTGAAAGGATATTTTGCTTGGTCATTGTTCGACAATTTTGAATGGAGTTCAGGCTACACCTTGAGATTTGGAGTTTACTTTGTAGATTACAATAATAACTTCAACCGATATCCAAAAAAGTCGGCCATTTGGTTTAAGAGTTTTCTACAATATAAAGTAGTTACACATAGTGATTCATGCTGATACAAAGAACTTAATTTATCACTTATAACTTGAAAATTTAAATGAATTTGATGCAATGAGAAGAAATTTTTTGTCGACTGAGTTCTTATTTTTGAAAGTATTTACGAGATAAACTTGTATAAATATCATTTATGTTAATATTTCTAATTTTTTTGTGTATTAATTTTAAAAGAGGCGACGTGATACATATGAAACATAATTTTTTTTTGTATTGATTTTGTTGAGTAAGGAATTTGTTTGGAGTCTTTGCAACCGTACTTGGTCGGATCAATGTAAGTTAATCTTTAATGTTGTGGTTATCCATTTGTTGAATGTTGTTTAGTTTTCCCCCGAAACAATGTCAGATTTAAATATAAAAGTATCTCTATTTCTTCTTCTATTTCTACTATTATTTGGGTTTGTGGGATGACCGGAAACAATTACAAAACTCCATCTTTTCTTAATATTCATGACTCTGAAATATTGAAGTATTTCAAAGTCAGAATTCAGCCTTCTTGTGCTCCCAAGATTCTCGAAATTATTTGGAAACCGCCTCCATGAAATTTGATTAAAATTAATTGTGACGGGGCGTCTTTAGGTAACCCAGATCCCTCGGCGTGTGGAGGTATTGCTAGAGATTCTGATGGTAGGTTTCTTGGAGTTTTTGCTTCTTTCCTTGGTGTTGCTAACTCTCTCATTTACGAACTCTTTGGTGCTATGTTAGCAATTAAGTTCGCTCATGAGAAGGGTTGGAGGAAAATTTGGTTAGAATTAGATTCTATTGTTGTGGTTCAAGATTTCAATCCTCCTTTCAAAGTGCTTTGGCAAATTCGTACAAGATGGGTTAATTGTGTTAATATGTCTGCGAGTTTGTCTTTTGCAGTTTCCCATATTTACCGATAAGGGAATAGTTGCGCAAACTCTCTTACGAACATAGGGCTTATAGTAACAAATTACACCGACTTCTGTTCGTTACATATTTTTTTAGGGCAAATTTTGTAAATAATAGTGTACCCCAAAATTTACCCTCTTTATTTTCATACACGCATATCATTGGTTTTATGGTTATGGAATAAAGGTATATTTAGCAAGCTTCGTCAGGTTACATGTGACGTTTATTTCGCCAATGGATGTTCTCAGAGTATTTTCCGTGTTGAAGATCGGTTCGCCGTTTTGTAACGATTCGGGGTTCAAAGATTCACAAGTCCAACCCGGCGTGTCATATTCAGGTGTTCTTTCGCCAAAATATCTCTGATAACGTATTCTCAAATTCAGGTTCAGCTCGAGAGCCAATTCTTTAAAGAAGGTCTCCGAATGTGTAAGTTTTCTCGAAGAAATATGGTGAAAAAGTGTGCTGAAAGTGCAGTTTTTACGCACTAAAAAATTCATAACTTGAAGATCGTGGTTCATTTTGAACCCGTTCCGGTGGCCAAAATTCCGTATTTACGTCATCTACGTTTTTATCTCTCACGGCTGGAAGCCAATTTCGATCAGAAAGTCTTCAAAAATGCGGATTTATCAAATATTTTTATACAGAAAATTTGTGACAGAAGTTTATTTGCGTCATGTTCCGAAAATCATAACTTGGTCGATTTTCATCGTATTGAGCTGGTTCTGGCGCCAAAATTTCACAAATTGAGCTGGCTACTTTTCACAAGAGGTATTGTGTTCAAACGGTATCCAAAAGGCCTTCGTTTTTTTCCTAGAGTGCGCGTGACGCGCCGAAAATCCTGAATGCTGAATATTATTTCATCTGGATCGAAACTTCGAAAATTCATAACTCGATCAATTTTTATCGGATTGGGCTCATATTTTTACACAAGGTCACTGAATCAGATATCTACAACTTTGCTTCCAAAGTCGAGACTAGGTTCTTCTCTGATCAATATCAGTTTTTTATTGAAGAACGTGTCAGAGTTGACACTGGAGCCCAAAATAAGTTTGTCTGAGGCGAAACTTCAAAAATTCATAACTAATTCACCATTTATCTGATTGAGCCCATTTTCGGACAGGAGTTAGTTTTCAATGTCGGATACATTTTGTTTTCACATTTTAACTTCAAAAAATGCACTTAAGTCCCTGCGATTTAGCCTGGAACGTGACAGACTCAAGTGAATAAAAATCTGCACTATTGCCTGTGGTTATTGGAGGCCCAATTGCACATTCAAAACCCATATTTTTTTCTCTAATTTCCATTATATAATCTCGTTCTTTTCACACAAACAGGACACGAAAAAAACCTTTGCCACAATCCTGTCAAAATATCAAATTCTTTCAAGAACCCTAAAAATCTTGAAATCCTTGTTACAAACCCCCATCTCACTACAAACAAACCCCCATCTCACTAATTCTCTAGTAAGGGTAAGGATGGTTTGATCTTCATGATTAAAAGGGTGTAGAAGCATTCATACATGCCATATCGGTTTTAATATTACAAAATGTCATATATTTATTTTCTTTGTATTTCATGGTATATTAATTTGTTTAATGTGTCTATGAGATTCAACACTACAAGTTTGACCATTATGGTCTCATGCAGGTTTATTACAAAGCACTGAGGCCGAATCATAACAACCACCAATGTGTGGCAAGACAGACATCCTGAGTAGATCCACATCCACTCAGGATCCCATGGGTAACGATTCTGCTATGGCCTATTGTGACTTTGAAAATCCGATCTACCAAGCCGAAGACGAAGGTGAGGAAGATTGTGAAGTGCCAGGGGAACTAGCCAGGTTACCACAACAGGAAGAAAGGACCATACAGCCCCACAAAGAACCGGTTGACACAGTTAACTTAGGTACCGAAGAGGACAAGAAAGAAGTCAAGGTAGGTGCCAATCTGGAACCCAGTGTCAAGAAGCGGTTAACTCAGTTACTACATGACTATGTTGAGGTCTTTTCTTCGTCATACGAAGACATGCCAGGACTTGACGCTGATATCGTGGTCCATCGTCTACCCACAAAAGAAGACTGTCCTCCGGTAAAACAGAAAGTCCGTCGCATGCGGTCAGACATATCAGAGAAGATCAAGACTGAAGTCATGAAACAATTCAACACCGGATTCTTAGCAGTCACCTCCTATCCACAATAGGTCGCCAATGTTGTTCTAGTGCCTAAAAAGGACGGTAAAGTACGCATGTGTGTGGATTACAAATATTTGAATAGGGCAAGCCCTAAGGATGATTTCCCGCTTCCCGATATCGATATTCTGGTTGACAATACCGTACAACATAAAGTGTTCTCATTTATGGATGGTTTCTCAGGATACAATCAAATCAAAATGGCACCTGAGGACATGGAGAAAACGACCTTCGTCATACAGTGGGGCACGTTTTGTTACAAAGTTATGCCATTCGGGTTGGAAAATTTTGGGGCAACTTATCAACGCACCATGGTAGCTCTATTTTACGATATGATCCATCACGGAATAGAGGTCTACGTGGATGACATGATAGCCAGATCTCAAACTGAAGAGAAACATCTTGACCATCTGCAGAAACTGTTTGAAAGACTGAAGAAATACAAGCTAAGGTTGAACCCGAGTAAATGCACATCTGGAGTAAGGTCCGGTAAACTCATAGGCTTCATCGTCAGTGGTAAAGGTATCGAAGTGGACCCTACAAAAGCACAAGAAATTTTCAAAACATGAGATAAGCATCTAAGAGCCCGTGGAAAACCACAGATGGAAAGGGTGCTAACACCTTCCCTTTCCATAATCTACCCCCCTTACTCAGAAACATCTCGAAAAAAGTTTTTTTTTTCTGTTCTTTTTCCTTTTCCTTTGTTGGATGAAATAAAAATCGGTGGTGACTCTTGCTTATCGCTACATTTGTGAACAAAAAACGTAAAACCAGTATTAATTGTCGGTTCTACCATCGTATCACAGAACTGGCAACTCTGCTGGGGAATATGAAAAGTGGGGTATACCTTAGGATCTAGGTCATTTTTAAATTACTTTCTTGTTTGCTTTGCATGTTTTATCTTTAAGGGTTTTTGCTTGGGTGTTGTTGAAGATCCTACACCCGAATCTGGGGGCACTTTTTAGGTAAACAACAATAGATCGTGGAGACTGTATGGCATATACCGATATGGTTTAAGCGATTACTGTGTTGGTGTGACACTTTGGTTGGTACCGGTATCCTTCGTGTTGAAACGAGGAGAATACGGGGCCGCCGCATGGTGTCGTGAAGCACTAATGGACCTTAGAACCTTAGTTGAACAAACTTGGCCATTAGAAAGTAGTGAGATAGCCGGCCTCAGTATAAAGCTGAGGATTGATTGATACTCGATGCTACACTCATTGAGATCATACTTTCGGGATATTTCGACCGCAAGAAAAGATTTCCTGAGCTGAAACAATGCCCGATAAAAGATGATCAGTGATATTGAGAATCCTTAAAACCCGGTTACTTTTCTAAGACAGGTTTGAAACCAATTAAACTTCAAGAGGGTACTTACCTATGGAATCCATGCAAGCCTAAACCTAAGGCTACTTGTGTGACTTATTTGCTTTCTTTTCCTAACAATTTGAACTCATTGCAGGGCTTTGTTTGTATTCCTTGCAGGACCTTGTTTGTATAAATAAAATAAATTAGTTTCTTACCCTGCATTTTTGCTTGATGCATAGCATACACATCATAGCATCATAACATGACATATCATACTAACCATTTCAAGGATCTCGAGGGCATGTGATGCAGGTTATGATGAACCAGACGTCTAGCAAGGGGCAAGGGGATTTATTTTCCTCTAGCCAATGTCGTCAAAAGACCAAAACACGATAACTTGAGTCAGGGGCTATGACCCACTTTATATGGTGAGCTTGACTCTTGTAGAAGGACCTTTAACGATACGAAGTGCTTCAATCAGGGCTGTAAAGTTCAACGCCTAACATTTTTCTTGTTTACCCCGCGAGATCCTTGAAAATCGTTGCATATCATACATGTCATTGCATAACAGGTAATCTCCAGTACAATTTTCTCATCTTCTTCGCTGTTTATTTCAGCAATGGATCTCAAA